GCAGCATAGTTCTTGAAAGACATTAATGGATTTGGATGGAATGTATGCATACAGGAAGTGGAAGATGCTCAGAGAATCAGAAAGGCTGTTATTGAAAGTTTTGAGAAAGCCAGTCTACCTAACCTCAGTGATGAAGAGAGGAAAAAGCTTCTTCACTTTGTCATTGTTGGTGGTGGCCCAACTGGTGTTGAATTTGCAGCGCAACTCCATGATTTTGTCAGTTCAGAAGCAGCCAGATTATACCCAGAGGTCAAGAATTTTGTGAAGATAACCCTAGTTGAAGCAACAGATCACATATTGAATATGTAAGTTTCCTTTCCATTAATATGTAAAGTTCCTATTTCTCTTCGGTCCACACGTACTGAATCTTGTTATCAAACTGTAACATCTACTCTACACCAGGTTTGACAAAAAAATCACAGCTTTTGCTGAAGAGAAGTTCAAAAAAGATGGAATTGATGTCAAGACTGGATCAATGGTTGTGAAGGTTTCAGATAAGGAAATCACTACTAAAGATGCAAAAACCGGGGAGATAACTTCTACACCTTATGGAACAGTTGTTTGGTCAACTGGCATTGGAATTCGCCCTGTGATCATGGATTTTATGAAAGACATTGGCCAGGTAGTGTACTTCTGTCTGGTCATTTGGTTTTTGACAAGATTATAAATTTTGTTCTACCTTGTTGAACTTACTTGCTGAGATTGAATACATATATTATCTGGTTATAATGTGTAAAATTATGTAACTGTCCAGGGCAATAGACGTGTGCTTGCAACTGATGAGTGGCTAAGGGTTGAAGAATGTGACAATGTATATGCAATTGGGGACACTGCATCAATTAGTTGGCGGAAAGTGATGGTAAGCATTTCTCTAGGTCAAAGATGTAAAAATTTGAAGGTTGTAATCAATTAGTGATGAAAACATTTTTTCTTGTGAGATCATTAAACATACTTATTAGTTATATGGATGGATACTGATGTTCATGAAGATTGAAAGCAATGTGGTGAAGATTTTAACCATATAATGAGACATTTGCAAAGTGTGCTGATTTTGTGCGTTTCTTTGAAATTGGAAATCTGTACAGGACGATATTGCAGCCATATTTCGCAAGGCAGACAAGGACAACTCTGGGACACTTACAGTTAAAGAATTTCAAGATGTCCTTGCAGATGTATGTGAAAGATACCCACAAGTGGAGCTCTACTTGAAAAACAAACACATGCGTGGCCTGGTTGATTTGCTGAAAGAAGAAAAGGGCGGTGATGTTAAGGAGCCCTTGGAGATCAACATTGAAGAGTTCAAATCAGCGCTCTCCAAAGTTGATTCTCAGATGAAGGCTCTTCCTCCAACTGCTCAGGTTTGGCGACATAGTTCTAATTTCTTATATCATTTCAGACCGGTCCTCATTTTTTCCTTCGACTCACAACATGTACTTTCAGGTTGCAAGTCAGGAAGGAGTTTACCTTGCAAATTGTTTCAACCGGATGGCTGAGTGCGAGAAGAACCCAGAGGGCCCTATTCGTTTTAGAGGAGAAGGGCGCCACCGTTTCCATCCCTTCAGGTACAACCACAGGGGACAATTTGCACCTCTTGGAGGAGAGCAAACAGCTGCACAGCTTCCTGGAGATTGGGTTTCAATTGGCCATGTCCCTCAAGCCCTTTGGTATTCTGCTTATGCCAGGTTAGTTTAGCTTCCCTGCACAGCATTAATTCTTTTTTGTAAGGTTAATGACTCTTTTGGTTGCATTGGAAATATGGAAACTAAGCAATAAAATTGTGACACTTCAAATTTCAGCATGCAAGTAAGCTGGCGTACAAGAACACTGGTGATGTCAGACTGGATCAGGCGTTTCTTCTTCGGGAGAGATTCAAGCCAACTCTGAAGGGAGATGGTTACTTTCACACATTCTTTGATAAAGTGATGGAATTTTTCGCATTCGTTTTTTTGGTTCACGGTTATGTCCGATTTTTGCAGCCGAATACGGCTGGCCTGAAATTTTGGGATTGCAACTGTACTATGCATGTTTTGCTGATCTTCTCTTCTCTTTGATTTTTTCTTTTTTAATATTGCTCACATATTGAGTAATTCAAGCTGGAACTCTTATGATATTGCACTATTTTTAGTGAACTAAAAGTTTTACATATTACTTTCAAATTAGGAGCCTTCTTTAAATTTTACCATAATGTTGCTTTCAATGTCCCAGCAGCCATTTCTACTCGAAACAACATGCAAAATAAAATGGTCTTCTCTTATGATAAAAACTTGGGCTGTGTTTTCTGTGCCCTGATGTTAACTGGAGTCTTGCCTTTGATAATTGTTGTTTAGATATTGAAGTCTATTGAAAATTGAAATGTGAATCCAATTCTATTAATGACTGAAGAAATGTGCTCTGGTATTTTTTTAGTCTCAACAAAGAATCCAAACTGGCCTAGATTAATACTATGTCACTTCAATCATTTAATTAGAATATTTGAAAAAAAATTATCTACTATGTTAAAATAAAACTTTTTCAAAAATATATTCATAATTTCAACTTATTTCTTATATATTTTTAAGCATTTGAACATTATTGTATGTTTATTGTTCCAAAATGTATGTTTTTATTTTTTTGGACTTCAACAATAGACATATATCGTGATTAGGAAAATTTATATTGAGACTAACAAGATATTTGTAATTTCAATTTCAAAAGAGACTTAGGAGTATGATTTTTGGGTATTATTGACTCTATTATAAAGAAGTACAGATTATCTATTGAAATATGATTATTCATTAGGTTAAATATATTTTTGATTCCTGTATAATGAGTGATTTTTGTTTTTAGTTCTAAAATATTTTTTTAATTAAACTATTCCTCTAGAATAGTTGTTTTTGTAAATGGTTTTCCCACCAATTCATAGTTAATTTGTCACGACTTAAAGGGACGAAAAACAAAATAACTAGATTTAAAATATTTTAAAGTGACCAAAAATTAAATTATTGATTTCTTAGAAATAAAAAACAAATTCAACATTAACTCTAAATTAAGAATAAATAATAACAAAAAAAACATGCTAATTTTTCATAGAACTTATGTCGGTGGTACGACTCCACACGATTCATTAGAAAATTCACTTATATTACATGGATTTTATGTCATTAGCCCTTTCATTGAGACGCTCAAATAAAACAATAAGTAGGTTTCTCAATGGATCTTGTCATGTGAACTTTTGTAGTTGGTAGGTATAAAGACCTTATGCTATGTATAAACATTCTACCATATCTTTGTTAGAATTCGATTCGGTCACAATCCTCTTGACCACTTGAATTATACAATGGAGCATTATTTTGGATGAGAAGAAATATGAGATGAAAGTCCATTTGGCAATAACGTTAAAGTTTATCACTAACATTTTAAAAAAGTTATTTGATTTTCCTCCTATTGAAAATTATCTTTTCGTTGCGCTTTACGATGTTTGACTGAAGTTATTTTGAAATCATTTTATATGAAAAATGATGTGAGATTTAAAAATAAAAATTACATATATTAAAAAACTATATTAAAAGATTTACAAAATAAAGATGACATGACTATTATTTTATGAAATAGGTAACAAAAATAGAGCAACAAAATAAATAAAGTTTAATCACTTGAATAGTGAACGAGAAGATACTTATTGGAAAGAGGGAATAGTTATCTTTAATGTTATTTTTGAAATTTCATTGACACCATTAAAATTTTGTACTCTCTGAGTCCCTAAAAAATTGCAATAGTTTCATTTTTTGGCCAAATTGTGGCATCTTTTGACCGTAAATTGTGGAAAAAGTATATTTAGCTATAATATAAATTTAATAAAATTGGATTTATTTTAAAATATTAAATTTTTAATATTTAATTACTTTAGACTATATTTTATTCGTGGTGAAAGAATATCACACTTTAACAAAAAAATGTCAAATTGTTGCAATCTCAAACCAACAAATCCCAAGGCCACACTCCGTGGAGCGGCGGAGTAGGAAGAAAACGGGTATTCCGTTTTGTATTTATTTCAGGCACCGCCGTTGTGGGGGGGACTCCGCCATTCTTATTCTTGAAGCAACCTCAACTGCTCTTTGAAGTTGTTAAATTCAAACAATTTTCTCCACAGCCATCTTTCACCTTCATCCAGATTTCAGATCTCCCTTGAGTTTGACAAGGAGGGCCCGATCGTAATTTCACGTTGCATGTGCAGAAAGATCCATAACCAGCAAGATTTTGTTTTTGTTTTTTTTGCCTCATCCAGATAAGGTTAATGGAGACTTCTTCCTCTCTCTCTGACAGCTATCACTAACCGCCGTCGCCGGGAGATAAAAATGCGTCATCTCACGGTTCTGTGAAACTCGCCATGTGCCCGGAAGAACCCCTCGCCGGAAAATCAAGAATCCGGCGAACCCTCGAACTGGTTTCCACACTGATCTCCGTCTCGCATTCGATCAGAGTCTTCACTGTTAAATGGAATTCGATACGGGACAAGCTCGAGGAGCTCAGCTCCACCCTCTCCGCCTTCGAGAACTGCGATTCTCCGGCAGAAAAATCCGATCTTTCCGATTCTTTGGAAGCCGTTGCAGCCACTCTGGAGAGCTGTCTTGACCTCGCTCGCCGCTGCGCCGACTTATCGTTCTGCGGGAAGCTTCAAACCCAGAGCGATCTCGACATTACATCTGCAAAACTGGATTTTTACAACAAGAATTTGGCCGAGATTCACGCCGGAGCCTTTCTTTCCCAGGGCTCTGCCATCGTTGTTTCAAGACCGGGCCTTTCGGCTTCTCGGGACGACATCAAATTCTACATCAACGATTTGCTTTCCAGATTGAAAATCGGGTGTAGAGACATGAAGAAACAAGCTCTGGGTGCGTTCAATGAGGTCATCCAAGAAGATGAGAGGTATGTGAGAATTGCAACAGAGATTGACAGTTTCTTGGCTCTGTTAGTACAATGTCTTGATTTTGAAGATGATGGAATCCAAGAAGAAGCTCTGAGGGCTGTTTTGGTAATTTCAGGCTTTCAAGCCTGTAGAGGTAGTCTGATCACATCAGGTGTAATTACCCCATTGATTAGAGTGTTACAGTGTGGGAGTGATTTGAGCAAAGAGAATGCAGCAAGGTGTTTGCAAAAGGTCACAGAGAACTCAGACAATTCTTGGTCAGTTTCATCTCAGGGTGGAATCACTGTCTTGTTGGAAATATGTTCCAACAATGAGTCCCGCGGCGAACTGGTCGCGTTGGCTTGCCAGGTGCTGAAGAATCTCACGGGCGTCGAAGAGATCAAAAGGTTCGTGATCGAGGAAAGGGCAATCCAGACATTCGTCAACCTCATGAGGATGACAAATGATGAATCTAAACTGATATGTGCAGTTGATTTTCTGCAATGTTTGGCTTCTGGAGATGAATCAACCTCCCAAACTGTCATAAAAGAAGGAGGGCTTCAAGAATTGTTGCTCATATTGGATCGAAAGCTCTCCCATTCGACCAAAACCAGAGAAATGGCATTGAAGGGGGTCATGAGTCTATGCTTATCTTCCTCCTCTTCATCCGAACCAGTCATTGTCTTGTTGTTAAACCATGGGTTGATAAACCACATTCTGTGCTTTCTGAGGGAAGGCGGTGGCGGGGTTCAAGAATTGGCCTTAAAGGCGGCATTTTGGCTGTGTGGGTCTTCAAATTTGGCCAAGAAAGCAATGGGGGAAGGCGGGGTCATGCCGGAGCTTCTGAGGTTTCTTGGTTCTGATGAATCTTGGGAGGCCAGAGAAATGGCTGCCCAGACATTGGCTGGTTTGGTGGTTTTGGCTGGGAACAGGAAGAGATTTGTTAAGAATGAGGAAAATGTGTTCTTGGTTTTGGAGATGCTTGAACACAAAGAGTTTGGGAACAAGAAACTGTTGCTTTCAATATTGGTGGCTTTGATTGGGTGCAAAAGTGTGAGGAGAAAGATTGTCAGTTGTGGGTACTTGAAGATCATTGAGAAATTTGCAGATGATGATGATGCTTTGGATGCCAAAAAGATTGTCAGGAAGTTGTCTTCTTCTTCCAGCAGATTCAAGAACATCCTCAGTGGAATCTGGCACAATTCTTGATTCTATTTTTCTTGTCTTTCTTCTTCAGTTTTTTTTTCATTTTCCCTGACATATTGATCTGTATACATTGCATTCATTCCCTTAGGCTTAGGGTTAGCTTGGATGGATGCTTTTTATTTTTTCTAAGTCTATATCTTGATGTACATTTAAAATTTTATAAAATTTAAAAGAATGACATAATTCATCAATAGTTTGTTCATAATTTCAAACTCCCTTCATTAAGGTGAAATAACTTGAGTCTTGATGGCACTTTCTGAGTTGGTTAGCCTTTCATAATCATCATTATCATAATCATTCTCACATGATTATACTTTACTGTGTTGAAATTGGCTTTTTAGGAAAGAGTAGGTAGGGATGTAGGGTTACTAGGGTAGTACCCATAATCAATTTTTTGGTGTTTAGCTTCTACGGCACCTCCTTAAATAAATACTCCCTCCATTTCACTAAGTATCCATTAATGATAGAAATATTTATTTTCTTTATATGTAGGTCGCTGATAAACCTTAGATTTACCATAAAATTTGTTACTTAAAATAGAGATTGATCTCATTCTAATTGAAAATTTCAACCATTCTAGGTGTACTCCAAAGATTGTATATTAAAACATGTTTCAAAGATTTACACTTACATTTTGATGACTTACACTAACACAAAATGTTTATGTGATTGCAAAATTTTATACTAACATTTATATAAATGTAACTCATCAATCTCGTACTTATATTGATACAAATTGTAAGTATAAACCTTTGGGTTACATTCTTAGATATAACCTTTGATGTACTAGTATATTTATTCTAAAAGTTTACTTACGTTTTCTCAAGTTAACTTCAAGGTGATTATTAGTGTATATAAGAACTATTCCTGGGCCATAACGACAAGCTTGAGCTTTTGGTTGAGTTGGTTCTTTGACATGGATGATGACAAGTGGTCACGAGTTTGAAACTGGGGCATGTTAGAGTATATAAAAACCATGCTTGGGCCACAAACACAAGTTTGAGTTTTTGGTTGAGTTGGTTCCTTGATTGTAATCATTAGAGACCATAAGAATTATGCGATGTAAGCTCGTATGCACCTCAACGAGTCTCAGAGGTGTAATTTAGCACAAGAGACCATGGATTGAGTGTCACCAGCGACAATGTAGTCGGTTAAGTCGTCATGATTTTTCTTTTTTTCATATTTTTCTTGGGTAAAGCGATTTTACCTATTAAACAAGAATTAAGATGAATGCATCCTTTCTTTTGAGTGGTAATAGGGAGAGGAGGGGGAAGGGTTGAGAAAAAGCACCAAGCACATGGGGAAGGCATGAATTTCCGGTGTACACGTGATTGGGCTGGATGATTATATGATTCATGCGGATTACTTGCCATCAAAAATTAATTTTTTTTTTATGTTTGACAAAAATTAATTTTAATTTGATTCTTTTTAAAAGTGATGTGTAATTTTTTTAAAAAATACGGAGTATGTTAATAGTTTTAAGGAACAAAAGGTGATATAATAATATTATTTCATTAAATAAATGATAAAAACAAAAAAAACAAAATAAATAAAATTTAATAGTATAAATAGTGGACAAAAAGATAATTGGTGAAGGGTTCTTTGTCTTAAATACAACAATATTAGTGGATTCTTAAAGTCATTAGCCTCTGGATAGATACTAGTGGAGTGGGTGGATTGATATTCCCTCCTACCAAATTTGAAATTCAAGTTTCACATCCAAAATTTGTAATCCCCCTTCAAGAATTTTCTATTGCATACATATCGAAGATGAAAAATACCGAGCAATAAAGAGACAATTTGATAGCTATTCGTTCGAAGTAAAATAATACTCCCTCCGTCCCTAAATAAAGTTTCATTTTTGACTTTTTGAAGATTTAAGGGAGGGATATTTTGGTGTTGATTTTCCAAAAATACCTTTGATGTGATGTGTTAAAGTAAGATGTGATAGGTAGATTATTAGTAAAAAGGTATGATGTGATAGGTAGAGTATGAAAAAGTAAGGGGTAAAAGGGGTTTTTTAAGGGAAAAAAGAAGTTTATTTAGGGATAAAGAAAAAACGAAAGTGGAACTTTATTTAGGGACGGAAGGAGTACAAAGTAAGTTTGATATTTACGACTAATTTCTTTGTCATAAAAGGAAAATAATTATTTGGATGGACTAAAAATACACAAAAGCACTTCAACAATAATAACAAAAAATCTAGTAGAATCCTACACACAGTCTGAGAGGTGTGTGTAAAAAGCCAAGAAACAACACACAAAGACAAGAACAAAAAATGCGTTGCTCTCACAAAGGGCTATTACTATGACACAAAATTTTACTCAACTACTACGTAGTTTAGTCTTAGATCTTTAGGCGTTTTTATTTAAAATCATATCTTGAGGGACGTACATACATCTAAAATTCTATCTAACTGATGGTAAATATGTATATGTAAATATCGCGTGTAGAAAGCATAATTAAATGGACAAAAATATTTTTAATTACATGGAAACTAAATTGGTGAAAATTACAACCTTTTAATGGTACCATGTCAAAAAAACCCTTTTATTATAGATTTGAGAGGATTTTACGATATACACGAGACTTTGAAGTCATTGATTAGCTCGAAGCGATTATGTTAATTGAGTAGTGAGGAAGATGGTGGAGTATTTATAGATGAGTGGTAGAGATGATTATGGTAGTGACTAGTGAGTAAATTGTGAAGGTGGTTATGGAAGGTGGAGTGAACCAAGATCCATGATACGAAAACCAAAATCAGAATGAGGAAGAAAAAGATATTGTGATGTAAGTCTATTATCTTAGAGGTACATGCGAAGTAGGTCGAATGAGTTGAACATAGTGAAGAAGAGATGTTAATCCAAGAAAAACGATACAAGAAATTAGAAAGAACTCATATACTGAACGAGTGCTATACTACTATGATTTTATCATTTACTCATTTTCTTATAAAATATTACGTTAATTATCATTTAAATATAAGTAGTTTACATACTTTAATTCCTTAAGTTATGTAGGATAAGGCGTTTAGGGTCATTTTTTCTATTTCAGCCAAGGCCATTGAATTCTTAAGACTGGCCTTAGTGAAAATGGAGTGGAGCTGATTTGAGGTAGAGAACGCATTGGATATTCAGTACTCGTGCATGAAACATTGGGGAGGGACTTGTGGTGTGTTGGTAGGGACGAGGGNGGTTGGGGGACTTGGCTTAGAGCTTGTGCTATTCGACCTATTATTTTTACTTATTACTTATTCTTTTGAAATCAAATCAAATCAAATCAGAAACAACTTTGAATATATCTACAATCAAATCAGAACTTAATCGAATCAGATCAGAATCAATACTAAAGTATCAAAGGATGACAATATTAAAGTAAGGGTATTGGTGTTATTCAGCCCTCCATATTGGTACGTGTGCCAAATTAATTGAAAGTGGACAAAGACTCCAAAAAGAAGGGAGTAGTAATATATTCCCTCCGTCCCGTAAAACATGGGAGTTTTGCTTTTTAGGAAAGATTTAAGGAGAGTGTATTTTGGTATTGAATTTCCAACAATGTCCTTTGATGTGATGTGTAAAAGTATGATTTGATGGATAGATTATTAGTAAAAAGGTATGATGTGATAGTTGGGGTATGAAAAAGTAAGGAGTAAAAGTGACTTTTTAATAGAAATGAAAAATGTTTTGTGGGACGGATAAAAAAAGAAAAGAGAAAGATTTTATGGGACGGAGAGAGTATATTAATACTATGGGCAAAAACCTACTAACACAACTTTGTGTGTCGAATTCTACGTTGAATAACCTTGGCTTGCGCATCTTGGCTGAGAATGGGGAGAAGTTGCGGCGGCGGAGCAAGGCGGCACCATACTTGGGGAGATTGGAGACGGTGGCCGATCTCCGCCAATTTATGTGCGGCTCTGTTCCCATCCTTGTAAACATGCGTCAGATCGCAGCGGCAGAACGTCTTAAGTTGTCTGATTATCAGTCTTATCTCCTCCACCTGTTCCTGAAAATCCTCGCACTTAAACCGCCGGCGGCGTGGCTCTCGGTGCAACACGGCGTCAACCAAATTCTTGGAGTCTCCTTCTATCCATAGATTATTATGCAATGGGCCTGAAATTTTAGTGGTACTTTCTTATTTTATCCTTGCTTTATGCATGCTAACCTAGAATAAGATGCGTATATGATGTGACAAATAGAACAATACACCTCTATACATAACGGAGTATGTATTTTTATTGCTAAAGTAAATAAATTGTTACCATCAATTAAACAAAAATTGGATTACATACTACTCCCTCTGTCCCGAAAAACATGGGAGTTTTGATTTTGAAGAGAGATTTAAGGAGAGTGTATTTTGGTATTGAATTTCCAAAAATGTCATTTGATGTGATGAGTAAAAGTATGATTTGATGGATAGATTATTAGTAAAAAAGTATGATGTGATAGGTAGGGTATGAAAAAGTAAGGGTAAAAGTGGTTTTTTAATAGAAAGTGGAAGTGTTTTTTGGAACGAATGAAAAAAGAAAGGAGAAATGTTTTCAGGGACGGAGGGAGTACTATAAACACATCTTTTGTAAAACATTTTTCAAAAAAAAGGATTTATTTTGTTAATATATCATGTACTTCTTCCGTCTCGAAAACTTTTCGACTTTCAAATCTTGCTTGTCTTATAAAATATTTCAATTTGAGCTAAATGAATACAATTATAGTCACCTTTTTGAAAATCTAATCGAACATATCAACTACTTTCTACGCTCTATCTATTTTGACATTTCCCGAACCCTACTCTTTTCAATTACCGACGTTCTACTTTAATTTGGTCAAACTTCTAAAGTTTTCCATATCTTATAAGTCAAAATAAGAAAAAATTTACGGGACGGAGACAGTAATATTTATTCAATTAATAATCAAAGCTGGTTTGATTAGACGTACTGTAAAATATTCCCTAACAAACTTATAAAAACACTGTGTCAAAAAAATGTATTAAAATAAGCATTTCTTTAGTATTTGTTTTTTAAAACAGAAAAATTTAAAAAAAGATTTTTTATGTGAGAAGATCTATAAAATTGATATGCACCCAAGGTGCATTCATGAATGTGACCTTTTTGAGTGATCCAACGGTTTTCGTCTTCCGTGAGAATCTGGAGGCCACGACGCAGCGCCGCCAACTCAGCAACATTACCGTCGGATGACGATGACGCGGACCCCACGACGGGCTCGGCGTATCCGAACAGGAACTCGGCGTCGTGGTTTCTGAGCACGCCGCCGATGCTGGATGCACCGGTCTCCCATCTGCACGACCCGTCGAAGTTCAACTTCGTCCACCCGACCTTCGGCTTTTCCCACGCCACGTCCACCATGCTCCCGCCATCTCTGTGCCAATTCCTTATTATTACCCGACGGCAAACGGTGGTGGCTCCGCCATGGACCACCCTCTTACACGGCGATAATCTTCCAAACATCATGATCAAAGTCTTTTAATCATAGTACGTAGTTTCTAATGCAAATCCCTAAAAATGTTTGCAAGCATGCTTGCATATGAGAATGTATAATTGTGGTGTACGGTGTACGGGCGACATAGGGAATTCAATAATGATATACGGACGAGATAATTATATTTAAAAAAAAACTGTTTTTAACCGCTAATGTAGCAGTTGATTTTCCAAGAATTTAGGAATTTAGAGTGCAATTCAACGTTCGTATTTGATAATAGTAAATGTGGGCTAATGCGAGATATTTAATCTGAGCAAAGCATAGATGCACTTATGATAATATCTATATGGCGGCACCCTAAAACTATTTTTTGTTATTATTTTACCCCATGGTTATATTGACACGAACTTTTGGTGTCATATTAAGACATTGCCCCTTATGGTGTCTGGATCGTGAAATTAATGATTTATGTTCTTTAATGCCTCGAGTAGATCCTCCCAGCCTAGTACAAATTTAATGTACAAGTTTAGGGTCAAAATATGTACCCTAATGTCAACAAAATTTGACAATTGTAATTGAAATGAATGCGGGATACTAAAAAAGCAGCAAAGTTCTATTGACATCGAAGTACGTTGACACTCCAATTCCCGTCTTTTTTGATATATTTTTAGTGCTCCATTCGCAAAAATGTTGGTTTCAATCTCCTAACTTCCACCCCCAAATGTATGACTAATTATGCAATGCATAAGTACCAGACATTGGATGGGGTAAAGGAGTGAGGATAGGGTGAGGTCCAATGGGGGGAAAAGGGTAGGGCGAATATTATCCGTTGATATTGGATACCAGTGACAAGGAAACTTTACTCTAAAAAAATAAAAGATTATTATTTTTGTTTGTTCCAGAATTAAAAATAGGACAAACACAAACTTCTCTCCTTACTTGAATAACAAAAAGACCACCTCCAGGGATTGTGGATGAGTTCAAACCCAACAAAGTAATCGGTTTCAAAACTTTGAGTATGCAAATGAGCAAATAACACATTGTAATAGAGTTCATAGTATTTAAAAAAGGACAAGCACAAATACATGATCAAGAGAGTATCTTCGTAAATATTGTTGGAAATTCAAAGTACACTACATATTCAACATAATTTACATTCCATATTTTTCTCAGGAAGTTGTACAATCTCTCCCAAAAACAAACACTGATCCACATCTCTATAAAAGTAACGTTTAGTCCAATGAAAACTGCCAAGTGCGCCTTAACTTTGACACAAACATATTCCCAAGCATCCGACGCTTCGTGTGTGTGTGTGTGTGTGAATCTTTGTAAGAAGAATGGTGTCAAAAGTAGGCTGCTTCAAGCATAATTCTTAGTCGAATTGATTGAGAAACCGAACAGCAGAGTGAAAACAAAGAGGCACACCAATTCTTAACTGCACACCATGATCATGTCTTCATTGCAGGCCTCACTAAACCCAATCCTGACCCGCTTCCCAAATGCTTAAATTCTTTTGCTTCCAAATGATCCCCGTGGCCCGAAAACCCGGTCCCGCCTTTCTCTAGATCCACCAGATTCCTGTCTTTGCACGGCCTGTCGCAGACTACACAAACATTGTCCACGGCAACAAATTTTCCCGCGCACTTCTTGCAGAAAACATGCCCACACGTGTTGAGGGCAACGAGGGAAAGAGTGTTGTTTAGTGTGACCTTGCAACTGGGACATATGTACGTTTTATCAATCGACTTCACTTTCTTCTTCTCGCTCCCATCTTCTGTGAAGTGTATAGGGAAGAGGTTTTTCATCTTCAGCTTTTCCCTCCCTTCGGGGCAAAGGGTATTTCCGGAAGGGGCATCGACTTTAGAGGGCGCCTCTGGTGTGGCGGAGGGAAGCCAGAAGGCTTTCATGGTGCGGAGGGCTTCCTCTTCAAAGGCGGTTGCTTTAACACTGTTTGCTCCGTGGAACCCACCGCTCTTGTCCGTGATGAGGTTTTTGTCACTGTAGCCGTGGGGCAATGCGCCATGGTTTTGTTGATCAAAGGCTTCGATTTCCCTGGCCTTCTGCAGCATCATCCTCTCTTCTTCCTCTTCCTTCTCCTGTTTCTTCTGTGCAGCATGGGCTGTTGTCTTTCTACAACATCAACTCACTGTCAGTTTAATATTCCAAGTATAGATTTCCTTCACGAATTTTTGGATTTCTATAGCATCTGCAGTGTATCTGTTTTGACCACTGCTGGGAAAAGACAAGCTTGTTCTTTAAAAAGTCAAAGGAAGAGTTTTGTCCTTCCCAAAAGGTCTAGAGACTCGACCTTATACCATTGATGACGAAGTTAAAAACCCCCAACTTATGCTCGTCCAAAGAGGAATCTTACATGAGGAAGTATACATTCATAATCTACTGCAAATAATAGCTAAAAGAGAGTACCGGAATAAAAAGAATACTAATACTAATAATAGGAAACTAGTACTATGAATAATATAATGAAGACTCATATGTTGATTTTGTTCCCCAAGCCTGAATCAATATATCAACTCTGCCCCCAAGCCTCAATTCTGATGTTGTCAATTTTAGAATTTAATCTCACCATGCATGCTTCACAAGAAGGGAATCTAGTATAAAACTTGGATACAATGATGTTCTACATGAATGGATAGTGTCAAATGGTTTTAATTGACACTACATATTTTATATTGCCCACCCCATTGCAGTTGGATTAAGGTGGTGATGATCATTATAAGTAAAATAACCAAAAGCACAGACTATAATGGTCAATTGCAATGTTACAATTGCAAATTTGTGCATACAGAACAGTGATGCATATAAGCCTGTGCCTAGTTTGTTTCATAAAAAGGCAATAAAATGATAAAAATCATGCGAGTTTACGATGTGTAAAATAAGGGAATTGATATGTAGGAAAAAGTGACCAAGCATATATTCAACCACGGATATCATATCTGGGAAAGATAGATTCTTTTATATCAGCTTATCCAAGTAAATCCAACCCATGGACCATTAAGGCCATGCTCTTTTCAACTTTTTATTCCAGTTATCCAGACTCCACTTAAAATCTATTTTTGTCTAGTGAAAAGCACTGACCAGTGGCTTTAAATAGGGCTCATAGAGTCCCCAAAATAAGTGTAGTACTGGCAATTGATGTTAAAATTCCTTGATCACGAAATATAAGCTTGCAAACAATATGCAAATGTATTATCAAACACTGTCTTTTACCAGTCCAATTAATAGGCAGACATGAGGCCTGAGAGAGAGAAAAAAAAGAATTTCACAATTGCATTGCTGATTTGATAAACACAGAGACGTCTCGAGGCCTAGGCGAACTAAGCATGTGGCCCAATTTTTTAAAGCATGCATTAAGCATATCATATGATATTGATAAATGTAACCCAAATGTCCAAAGTTTAAAAAGTTAGACCCCGTTCAAGTCGCAAATATCTTGCTGCTCATCAAATATTACAATTGAATATCACCTATCGCACTCTCAACAAGAAAGACCCTAACAAATTTGCCGCCTAAGGCCACCGGAAGGCTAGAAACTCTATTGGATAAACGATAATGACTAGTGCGTGACTGCATAATGTACAATAGTGCCACTTCAACAATCAACTCACTAATTTAGGGTTAATAAGCTTAGTTCAAATATATCACTTCATCCACTACGCTTTCATAAAATAAAATTAAGTGGTCAATTCAACAAATAGCTTTCACCTATCTACTAATAGTCTGCATTCGTCTACTGAAATTGAAAGCAAAGCACTGTTCAACCTATCTCAAACTCAAATTGAAAATGTCTAGTCCATCTATACACAAACTATACAACCAAAAGATGATATCATATAGAAGCACTCAAGCACACGAAGAAACTCGAAGCAAATTAAAGTTAAAAAAGTTTCCAAGACTGTACCTTTGGATGTCTTTCTTCTGAGACAAGAGGCATTCGAGAATGCACTCCTTGCAGAAGACATGGCCTTTCTGGCAACACAGCGGATCGATGAAAGGCTTCAAGCAGAGACAGCAGGCGTCGAAGGGCTTGATGGAATCCTTCCCGAGCCGCTCCTTCTGAGTCCCATATCCGAGCTTCCGCTTCTCGTCGTAGGTGAAGAAGGCGAGATCGTTGTTGTTCTTCGAGTGTCTCTGTGGCATCCTTCGATCTCGTTGAAGGATTAGGGCAAAAAAAATATGCCCAATATTGATTTGTCAATCAAAAGAACCGATTTTGGAGACTGGAGAGGGAAAACTAGAACCCTAGAAATTGCGATCTATTGTGCCTTTCGGACTATAAATTGCCATGTTTTTTAAATAAAGATATTAAATACTCTCTCCGTCCCAAATTATTTGCAATGTTTGCTTTTTCAGCAGTCGCGATAGCTTTTATTTATTTTTACATTTTTATTGGTTATTTAATAAAATAAAATATTCTTGATACTTCTCTTTTCATGTAGTTTTTTGATATGTAAATTTTATTTTTTATTTCTATTCCAATATATAAATAAAATAAATTGAAAAAACTTGATATTTTGCCTCGGGAATACAAATGTGGCAAATATTTAGGGACGGAGGGAGTAATTTTTTAAACATCTAATAAATGAAACATTGCTAAGAAATAGAAAAAAAAGCAATGGAGCCAAGAAATTTATTTCAAAAATTTTCTAAAATAACTAAATAAAGCTACTTGATTTTTTCCCTATGATAAATTAAGTTTTGGTTCTAAGAAAGAAGTGCTAATTCTTTTTTTATACCGGGACTCTCTTGGCTTCTTTATTCGGCTAATCAAGTGGTAGCTCTTGCGGCCTCCTTCACCTACGACAAGAAAAGGGAGATGTTCAGCGTTGGAGCTTCGTTCATAGTGTCTTTGAGTCGTTGAAGTCATTCGGCTATAGAGGGCTTCATGTCTTCTTCTTACTTTGGCACCTTACCAATATTAAGTCTCTTCTAGTTGATTTTCAGGTTGCATCTTTTTCATTTGTACGTCATAGTGACTCATGCTCTTACTAACTACGTAGGCTCAGACTGAATGTTGTGTTTAAGATAATAACTCATCTGATTTTGTAAATTCACTATTAAGTTCTTAATGATGAATATTTATCTTTACCCTAAAAAAGAGTGTTAGTTTTTTAAGAGACAAAAATAATATACACATTAAGATAAATTATTTGATGGACCTTAGGTCAGTGTTGGATTTAGCCACCTTAGTGTTGGAGGTATGGGTGCATTTCTTTGTTGAAAGCTAAAGCAAATTCTATTACGAACTCAACAAATAAGAAAGAAAGCATGAAGGAAAAGCTCTCACAAATCATGTCACGCCTTAGCAAAGTGAGCAAGCTTGTAAGCAAAAACTTTACTGAAGCGATGAACAAACGAAACATACACAAGTTAGAAAAAGATTTACATCATATTCACATTTTCATAATGTTAAAATAATCATTTACTCTATGTTTCATTAACTTTAATATTGTTTTCTATTGCGCAAAGGGAAAGGTTTATAGATTTACTATTATTTTGGTGTAGCTCAGTTGGTTGAGCAAGAGGTGCCAAAAGAGGTAAACTCAAATTCGATTCTTAATAAATGTGTCAAGAAATAACTATGATTAACATATGATTTTTACAAATACCAGGTGTATGCCCCACCTTTTGTTTGGCCGGTTCTGGGAGGTTCTCGAAGATGAAGTTCATCGTCTTTTGTAATACAGGCCCAAAGTAATATTTTAGCATACACAAAATTGATGGTATTTGACAGTGCCATTTTTTAAAATAATTTAACTTCTATTTTGAATAATAGTCTTTTACTTTTATTTGGCGTGTAAACTTTGTTTTATACCATCATTTTCACATGGGAGATGCTAGGGGTATACCATTTTCACATAAAACATCTTTTCAAAAAAGCAAGTAAATGTAGTTTTATTTTCAATTTTTATTAAAATTACTTACTACCAAACACCATCTTATTCGATCAAACCAGAGCGTCGGTTTTATACTTTTACCCACATCAGGCAGCATCGTATACTCGGAAATTCGACGTTGGTGAGAAAGGGACCGCCGCATAAAAGCTTACCGATCAAGCACCAGTGCACCACCACCATCATCATCATAATCGTACCAATCAACTTCCCAAACGAATCTCATCAAATGATGGCTTCGCCGAAAAAGCCGCCGGCGGTGAATTCCCAACGCCCACCGACGGCGATCACCCACCAACCAGCCTCCCCTCGCTTTCCTTCCGGGACACCCACCGCCGGAGCGCAGCGCAAGATCGCGATCGCAGTAGATCTCAGCGACGAGAGCGCCTACGCGGTGAGATGGGCGGTCCAGAACTACCTCCGGCCGGGCGACGCCGTGATCCTCCTCCACGTCCGGCCCACCTCAGTCCTGTACGGCGCCGATTGGGGCGCCGTCGATCTGTCCGTCGTCTCGGACGCCGCGCCCGACGGCGACGAGGCGTCGCAGCAGAAGCTGGAGGACGATTTCGACAACTTCACCACCTCCAAGGCGAACGACGTGTCCCAGCCGCTGGTCGAGGCCAATATTCCGTTCAAGATCCACATCGTGAAGGACCACGACATGAAGGAGAGGCTCTGCCTGGAGGTGGAGAGGCTTGGGCTGAGCGCCGTGATAATGGGCAGCCGAGGGTTCGGAGCTTCCAGGCGAAGTGGGAAAGGCAGGCTCGGCAGCGTCAGCGATTACTGCGTCCAACATTGTGTTTGCCCTGTGGTTGTGGTCAGATACCCTGATGACAAAGATTCCTCTGTGGGCCCCACCAAATACGTCGCCGCTGCCGCCGAAGAGGACATTCTGGAGCTTCCTCCAGTGCCTGAGGAAGAACCCATCTATCACGATGCCTCTGATAAAACTGCAGGTAATTGATACTCTCTGTGTTTATATGGCCCTAAAGATTGAATCTTTATGCTTACTCAGTAAACTAATTTAAGGGGTTGTTTGTTAATTCTTAATTAGATTAGTAATTAAGTGTGGAATGTGCATTTCCCCCCAAATGTGGTTTCAAACTTTTGACATCATTATGATCATTGTTAATTGTATGTTTTACAGAAAAGTTATTTAGGAGAGTGCTGTTAATTGGGTTTATTGCTTGAATTATATTTGTACTGTTGATTTGAAGGAGAAAAACTCATGGATTACATATTGGCTGAGTGGCTTTAAGAATCATCCGAGTCTACATTATATCGCTAATCATTCTCGTCAGCCATTTGTTGCTTGATATCTATTTGAATGCTTTGTTTTGCTCAATCGTGTATGACAATTATTTGGTTTGATTGTCCTAGCTATGTTATATTGTCTGAGCATAAAAGAGGGGTTTGAACTTTGAAGATTGGTGTTCACTCTCCATACTATCTTGTCAATGAGGTTGGTTTCCGTGGAAGCTTATAATGGAGGTTTTAGAGGTCATACTCCGTTTTGATGGTTATGCGGAGAAAAAAACTAAGCAAAATTTGAGTATTCCATGTACCTTATAAGTTGACATTACGGAGTATAAGTTAACAAGAACAACAAATGCAGTATAATCCCATTTCTTTTGAGGTTTTGAAATTTGAAGTCAAGATGTATGATGTATGCAACTTTACCCCTAGAAAAATAGAGAGTTTGATTCTGTTAGACCCTTTATACGTTGTCACACTTCCCACAAATTCATCAAGCGGAAGTTTAATGTGTCGTTTTATTTTATCCATTATTTACCCGAATCCAAAATATTGTCAAAAATGACTCTTTTAACCCCATAGGCAATTTGAGTCCACAGATGAAGGGATGAACTAGAACTAAATGTGTTTTGCATACTGGTTTGTGTGTCAGTTTTGATTTAAACATGGTATTTCCCCCTCTTCCTCTTTTTCAAATGAACTCCACAATTTAAATATTAGAATTGAACTGGCTTGCTCAAAAATGCCTTTTTCTTCAACAGTTTTGGGTTCATGTTTATAATTTGCATCATAGATCTGCTTCTGTAGAGAGGAAGCAACATCTTGTACTGCAGTGATGTTGTGGAAATCTGTCATGAACAGTTCCCTATTTCCATTGCTTTCCATGGATTGATATACTTAAATTTGTCATGTCAACACGGTAAGTATGAAATGTGTTCTTATCATGAAGCAATTGTTTTAGTTTTCTTGAAGGTTATTATTCTGAAGTATGGAGTATGAGTAACAATTCTTAGTCAATGCCACACTTACTTGCAAGTTATTCTCTTGGCAAGAGTTGTTTGAAAACAGAATTTTGGCCCCAAAAAGAGTCCTATTTGAACAAAAGAAGTTAATTTTCACTGTAACTTTATTTAAAAAGTATATTAAAGGTGAACCAAGCAATTTGTGTGCCTTAAATTTAACTAAAGAAACAAATGCAACTATCGGACAACGTATTGTAGAAGTCCCTGTACTATGTAAAAATGTTCAAATTAGTCCTTGTACTTCTAATTGGAGCAATTTAGTCCCTGTACCATTCTTTTTGGTTCAATCAAGTCTTTCTCTTTGCTTTTTCTTATATATTGACTCGATCTCTTTGTGATGATGTCTAATTTTACTATAGATGACATAAAAATATATTCTTGACATGTTAATGCATCATACTTATGTTTTAAGCACCTTTTTTTACCAAGTGCAATATGCATTTGTTTATTCGTTTTCTTTAATGAAAAAATATAGGGATAATATTATTTATTTTTTAATGACTAAAAGTACGGAGTATATTAAAGATATAACTTAGCATGCCAAGACAACATTACTTTGTCATACATAGTAAATTTAGACATCATTACTTAGCATTCATGGCAATATATAAGAGAAAAAGTGAAGCGAAGGACTTGATTGAACAAAAAAGAATGGTACATTGACTAAATTGCTTCAATTAGAAGTACATGGATTAATTTGAACATTTTTACATAGTACATGGACTTCTACGTACTTTGTCTTTTGTCCTCTTGAGCACGGGAACTTTCGGAAACAACCTGTATACCATATATGTAGGGGTAAGGTTTGCATATGTTCAACCCCTATACCCTACTTGTGTGATTACGCTGGATTGTTTTTGTAACTTAGTGAAATTTAAAAATTGCACTTTTGTGAAGAAGAACTTTTTTATGGGATGGAAGTAGTAATCTTTACAAAACCTTACTATATTGCAGATCAGTTTATCAAAGAACTCGACTTTATTCTTTCTCCCAAAAACTACCTTTTATGTTTTCATTTTTATTACCTTAGCATTTTCTCCTTGATCATTATGTGTTGTCAGAAGATGTCGACTCGTCGTAGTGTGGTGAGATGTTTATGAATATTCTCGTGTTTGAGTTGGGTCTGGAGTCTCTTGGAAACAGTCTCTCTACCCTTAAGTAGGGATACCCACATGACACACACCCTCCAGAGAGCCTACATTCATGAATATGCATGAAGTAATATCTTGTATGATACCATTTCAAAGATGATGCAAATGCCCCATTTCTTCACCCGGATTTGCAAAAAATATCTGGCTAAACATTCATATGATTGATTGTGTGCAGATATGGGAAACACATCTTGAGCAAACAGAGTTTGGAGATAGGTAATGTTTAGAAACGGATGAACAGAAGACGGCAGTTGGGTGTCGAGTGTCAGTGCCACCACCAGGGACAGAAATGGTAATTCCGAGTTTGTTTCTTAACCGGTTGGTCTTATTCTTCACCAGGCTGCATTGCTTATCCATGTACCAAAGAAAGTACACTTTTCAGATTTGTTTTTACAAAGATTCTCTTGCCCCATTCATCCTTTGATGAACCTTGAAATGCATTTTATGTTGATATATTTATACTGCAGAATATTTGCTATAGGTTGATGCTCAGTTTACCCACTAGTAGCTCTATGTTCCACAAATTTAAAATGTTCTGGTAAGGGTAAAGTTGTCTAAAGTTTCTGGATTTGTTGGAATTTCTGAGAAGGAACTGTTTGGTAATCTTCACTTTAGTCAAAGAAGTATAAAAAAAAAAATCTCTAAACTGAGACCTCTGCCTTCCTCTTTACATGCCCACATAGTTTCCTGAGCAACTGGGGGTAGTATGCAACAAAGAAAGAGCATGTAGTTATATAGAGCGATAAATGCAATTAAATTTTAAATCTTGGTTTCAAAATTGTATGTTTAGTTTGAAAAATATAGGTGTTGGAACTGAAACTTACATTCTCAGATAGGGATCGATAAGTTCTGATTCAGAAGCGCAACTAGAATTGCCCGAAGATTAGGTTGAGATTGTCATTTTGTGGGAGAATAGATTTTTTTTTATGCTTATTGTCTACTTTTAAAGTCTGATTTACAATATTAACCAACAAAAAATAGTATGAAGTGAAATATGAAGTATAACACATCAGAACAAGTTTAAAACTGAACAGATCAGATCGGAACTATCAAAGAAGGAATGTGTCTATGATTTTTGCTGTTCCGAAAACCAGAGAAAGTGCACCTTGACCACCCATATAAGTGTGTCCATCACAAATTTTGGGACACTTTACATTTCATCTACTTTCTGTCACATTCCCACAAAATGTGAAGTTTACTCTTTATAACACTACCCAAAAAAAAAAGTAGGGCACTCTAAAGCTGTGGGACGTGGGTAAGGCACATTCTTAGAATATGCTCATGTTTCCACCTTTCATTTCTTAGGTTGATGATTAAGAATGTTGTGGTCTCTAAAGTTGACTTGGTACCTTAGTAATGAGCTGGTTAGTAGAGCCCACTAAAGATGTTACTTATTTTTCAAGTTAGGTGTACCCCATACTAAGATTATTTAGGCTCCGTTCTGTTCAATTTATTGGTTCAGACAGTTAATTACTTAATAAAAGATGAATAAAACTCATACTGCCTTTGCTATGAGTCGATCTTGATCAAAATGCCCTTTTAATCCTATGAGCTACCTCACCCTGGCAAAGTTACTCATTTTTTCGATTATAGACGTGCTCGAACGGGTTTTCTTAGACACAATTTATCTACACTCGAATAGTAGTAAGATTTCTATACATACACTCTCCGGACCTTATTTTTGTGGGACTCAGTTTTTCGTTGTTTGCGTATTCTCTATTTTCAACTCTTTCCTTAAGTCGTTAAAATTTTAATTATTGAATTTTATCTGAATATGATTCTTGTTTGTGTAATTGAATTTATTATATTTTCTCTTTATTATCCATGAAAAAATATATATTTTGAGAAATTGCGAAGTGTATGACCCTGTTGTCTAGTTTGACGTTGAACCTTTATTTGTACTCTTTATTATCTATAGATAGATAATATCTTTGCGAAATCGTCAAAATAAATTTTTCTTAAGTACGACTAGTTCTTATCACAACTCCAAATATAGTTACAACAAACTTGTGACTTTGTGTCACCATATATATAATCATCACAAAAACAAAGCCCTTATTATTATTATCTTTAATACGTAGTATTCATTTATTTTTTACTAAAAAAGAGCAATAATCTCACGTTCAAAGTGGGATTCTCACACGGCTCTTTTACAGCACTTGACTCACCATAAAGGGTAAAAGCATAAAACCATCTACATAGACTCAACAGAGTTGCCGTTGACCCGGCTGCACACGTCACGGATTTCAAGCTGAGTTCCGGCGGAGGGCGGCAAGGTGCTCATCTTCACCATGGCGGCGGCGAAGTCGGCGAGGAAAGCGCCGGTGGCATCCCTGTACCTCCTGGCGGCGGTGGCGGTCGTGCTGTTTGTCATCAGCTCGGCGTCTGAGAACAGGAGGCCTTGACCGCTGACCAACTGCCGGAAGTACCGGGTGTCGAACGCGGCGGGAGTCGGGTCCAGCCCGACCAGGCCGGTCAGGGTGGAGGCAGAGCAGTTGCACGGCAGGGTGGCTGTTCTGTTGGGGTTGATGCTGTTGTTCTGGCACACGATCGCACAGCGGGAAAATCCCACTGTGTGCGCTCCTGCCAGAACAACCATCTCCCTCTGGGTGAACCCCTTCTCGGCAAACTTCTGGGTTTGGACGAGGAGGCTGTCGAACGGCGCCGGAAGTTGGGTGTTGGCTCCGGTGAGGTTCGCCGTCCTTGCGTCGCGTCTGGCGCCTATCGTCACGTTATAAGTTTGACCTGTGAACTGTAATGTAAAATTTTAGATGAACGGAACTCGTGGTACATTCTACACGTACGTAACGCACCCGAAACAATGTCACATGCACATGTTTTAATTTATGAGTTAAAAAGTTAATTACCTTGGTGAAGGAATCGCGAGCAGCAATGGCTAAAACATCGGCACAAGAGACAGGGGTGTCGGAGCATTTGGTTTTGGCATTACGCTTTGCGAGTTCTATAACTTCAAACCCTCTCACAGAGTTACTATTTGGGGCCGCACCTTGTTCTCCGGTGAAGTTGGCCGTGTCGTTCAGGAGGATTCCACCGTCACAACCCTGCATACAATTTTAATTATCAAGTGTTAGAGTGCATCTCACATCGAAAATCCAAGAGTAAAAATAAGAAATATTTGCACTAAATAACACTAAAACTTAAATCATTTCCCTATATAGCACTTAAATTGTTTTATTCCCTAAATAGCACTTAATAATGTTCATAATGCCCAGTAATGATGAATATTTGCTTAAATAATGACTAATGCATAATGACTAAAAGTGTTAGAATGTCATCCCACATCGGAAGTTCAAGAGCAAAATAATCGGTATATAAGCTCTTGAGTTGAACTAACTAATCGATTGGATTCAATCTTTTAATGTGGTTCAACCCAAGTGTCTTATTACCCAATCCAGCTGTCCATACCAATCCCAAATTCTATCAAAAAGTGCTACATTGGGAAGAAAAACACATGTGGTGCTATTTAGAGAAAGTCATTATATTTTAGTGCTAATTAAGTAAATTTCCCTAAAAATAATTCGTACATAAGCTCGTTGAACTAACTACTTGAAAGTCGCGCTAGTTGAGCCGTCTCGGGAAATTCTTTTACTACTCAATTATATCCCGTACTACTCTGATATTTAATTCTCCCGTCTTTAAATAAATTTTGGCATTATTGTTCCGGTCTCTCGTTAACTTTTATTTATTTACACGATTTTATTAACCATTTAATAAAATAAAGTTTTATAATCACATATTGTGTTAAAGTGCATTCCACATCAGAAGTTCAAGAGTAAAATAATCGATATATAAGTTCTTGAGTTGAATTAACTAATCGATTGGATTCAATCTTTTAATGTGGTTCTACTCAAGTGTCATTTACCCAATCAAGTGATCCCAACTGCATCTCAAATTGTATCATATTGTTAGCTTTGATTTAGTTTTAAATTAAAATATGTAATTTATATTTTTTTATTTCTATGCTATTATATAAATAAAATAGTTTTAAAATAAATTTAATTCTGTACGTTATTCAAAAAAAGAGTTTATTTAAAAATGGAAGAAGTATTTAATACTTCCTTCGTCTCTAAATGATTTTGATATTTCACTACTTAAAAGTTACGAAAACTATTATATATTTATGTGTTTTCATTAAATATTTAATAAAATATATTTTTAAAAAAAATTTCTGTCCAAATTTCACACACCTATTTTTCACTTTTTCATCAAGTAATCAATATTCTTTTAAAATTTTATATAGTCAAACTAGCAACAATTAATTTTATAGTCTTAAATATAGGATGAGATGAATAGTTGGCATCGTACGGATGAAACGAGAAAAAGTAAAGGCGATAGTGATAGACTATGGGAGAAATGGGTCCCCCACACCCAACTTGTCCAACCGGGCCCCATAGAAAAAGTCTCTAACCTAAAATTACTATTCTAGTAAACCCCAGATTGGTCCGATGATAGCTTAACAAGAGATTAACGACTTTAATTTTAGACTTATCTATAGAGAGTAATTATTTTCTCTAAGCAATGATTAATATATAATCCCTATAAATACCACCTCTAATACGGGAAAAAATGAATTCTTCTTTATTTAAAATTTATTTTCTAAATAATTATTTGAATGATTTTTTTAACACTTTAATTTTTCAATATTTTCCTAATTCTTTTGTTCATTCAACATCTAACTTTAGTATTCTAACCCAAAAGAATTAATTTTAATTTTACTCCTTCCGTCCCAAAATCTTTATTCCCTTTTCTTTTTTTACTAGTCCAGTAAATCATTTTTTTCTCTATTAAAAAATAACTTTTGCGCCTATCAATTATTAATCTACTATCATGTCATACTTTTTATTAATAATCTACACATTACCTCCTACTTTTATCAATCGCATCAAGGATATTTTTGGAAAGCCAACACAAAAATATTTCTCTCCTAATTTTTCTAAAAGTCAAAACGGAAACATCTTTTTAGAACGAAAGAGCATCACAAATGTATTATCGCCAAGGATTGAAGTAGTCCTCCCTCCGTCCTAAAATCATCTTACCGTTTGTGTTTTAAAGTTTGAGCGACTTTATTTTCAATTTAATTTATTTGATTGTAGGTGTAAAATTAAAAAATAAAATTTATATATTTAAAAACTACATCAAAACTTCTATAAAACGACATGTGACAATACTATATTATTTTATCAAATAACTAAAGAAAATATGTAAACAAAAGTGATTTAAATTTGACCGTGTGAATAGTAATTGAGAAAATAGTTTTAGAATGGAGAAATTTAGTTTATAATCCCACCGTATTCATACAATACCAACACAGCATTTTAAATAATTTATACGGTGTAATAATTTTTTAAAATATTAAAAGCCCCCAACTAATATCAAAGAACCAAAAAAGGATAAGTATTGAAGTGAAGCAGGACGTACAAATATAACAGAACACTGTTTTTAATTAGCATTTTGAATATTTTTTTAATATTTCAGATCACTGTTGAAAAAATTAAAGTTAAACACTGTTGATATGAGATACTCCCTCTTCCTAAATATTTGTCTAATTTTGACTTTTTTGATCAAGACTTTGTCTTAAAATTTAATAAAAATGATATTAAATATTCATAAAAAATAATTTTATTAGATTTATTATATGAAGTATTTCAAAAACACTATTTTATCTAATTAATACATAATGTATATCTTATTTAATTACAGGTCAAAAGTAGAAAACGATTAACTGAAAAAATAGAAAAATACTCAAAAAAAAAAGAAAAATACAGGTCAAAAGAGAATCTATACTTACATCGACAAAGCAATCGTGGAAGTGGAGGCGGATGAGGGAGGCGCCCATCCGAGTCTCGTTATTGATGGCGGCGTCCACGACTTCCTTCACGGCGGAGAACACGCACGCTTGGTCGGAAAGTCTGCCGGACGATCTCCCGAGACCGAAGTAGGACAGCAAGTCGGCGGCCGACTCAATCGTCGTTGCGTCGCCCAGCCAGCTGGGGATGGCGGCCTTAATAAGGGGGCGGCGGGGGCCTTGACCCACGGCGGCGTTGTGGTAAACGGAGTAGGCAGCTAAGAAGAGAGCTAAGAAGCTCAAGGAAAGGATAAGCCGGGACACAAAGGAAGAAGCCATAGCAGAAATAATAATTAATTACAGTAATCAGTGGACCAAGAAGAAGAAGAAGGTTTGAGGTTAATGGCTTAAGAGGCAGATATGCTTATTAAATACAAGTAGGAAATTCTTGAAGTCTCTCATAGTCCTGAAACAATTTTTTTATCTTCTGTTAGGTATAAAATATTATTGTTGATAAAAAACCAATCTGAGTTTTGAATTTTTTTTTTAATAAAAAAAACTGAGACTCTGGTGGGTGGAGTAGTAAGTAGTCTGACTTTTTGTCGTGCAATTGTAAATTTTAACACTTTTGTATATTTTAAAATGAGGTAAAATATTAAATTTTTTCAATTTATTTTATTTAAATATTGCTATAAAAATAAAACTTAAAATTTATATGTTTAAAAATGACATAAAAAATTCTTCGAAATAAAAGGTGTCAAGAACATTTTATTTTATCAAATAATCAATGAAAACATATAAATAAACAAAGTTCTTGTGATTATTGGAAAAAAGGAAATGTGATATTCTTTTTGAGACGAGAAAATATTTTGATCAATAATACTTATACCTATACTACGTGTTAGATAATAACAATAACAATAACAATAATAATAATAATAATAATAATAATAATAGTTTTAGTTATGGTAGTGCTTGATTATAAGTTAGCTTCATACTCCAATTTATGATAGATGTTGTATTTTAGTTTGTTTCTATTCTCTATTTCTAGTTGTGTTAAGAGTTTCTCTCTCATATATATATATATATATACACACACACACACACACACACACACACAAACATACATACATACATATACATACATACATACATACACACACACATACACTCTATCATATGCTCTATAGTTTAATGAGCAATATTATTATTCTAATATTTCAACATGGTATTAGAGTCACAACTCTTGGTGACCTAAAACTCTCTGCGCTCGCTCCTGACGGGTGGCGCTGCATTAGCCGCCCGCCGGGCCGATGTTCTTTCTTCAATTCTTGTGATCGACAACTCCTCAAAAACTCTCTCAACTCATCTTCCTATATTCTAGAAATCAAGAAAAGAATGATACTCCCTCTGTTCTAAAAAAGAGTTCCTACTTTGAAAAAGTGGAAAAATAAGGAAGTGTTAAATTATAGTTGACTTCCAATTTTGCCCTTGATGTGATGGGTAAAAGTAAGATGTGATGGGTAGATTATTAGAGAAAAAGTATGATGTGATAGGTAGGGTATGAAAAAGTAAGGGTAAAAGCGGTTTTTTAATAGAAAGTGGAAGTGTTTTGTTGGAAGTGAAAAAAATGAAAGAGGAAGTGTTTTTGAGAACGGAGAGAGTAGTTGTTTCTCTCTAATTCACCATATCAGAACTTCAGACCCAAAATTTTTTCTCCATCACCAATTCTTAACCCACATTTTTTCTCTCAAATCGCTCATTCTAATAATCCATCTCTTTTCTCTTTCTCTCTAGTATAAAAAGCAAAGCAATCAAAACAAAAGTAAAGTCAAGGTGAAAAATAGAGGAAGAAGAGAAACTATCCAAAATAACACTAAAACATAATAACTTTCCCTAAATAGCATCACATGTGTTTTTTTTCTAATGTGACACTTTTAGTCATTATCCATTAATCATTATTTAAGTAAATGTTCGCCATCACTAGACATTATGCACATTATTAAGTGTTATTTTGGGAATAAAATAGTTTAAGTGCTATTTAGAAAAAAAACTTAGGTTTTAATGCTATTTAGTGCAAACATTTCTTAGGGTTTCAAGAGAAGAAACCCAATTGTGATACAATGATACAATATGAGATCTTATTAATTATTAGGTGTGCAACCACTATTTATTGAAAATTATGAAATATAATTACATAAAAGTGTAGAAATTTAAAAACTTTAAGTAAACTTATTTAAAAAGGTCCATTGCATCGCTTATTTTACACCTGACACAATTACATGGGAGCAATTACATCGCTAGTATTTGCTTCGATAAAAATACTGATGCAAAAAGTCCAATATAAGTGATGCTAAAGCCTTGACATGTACTCTCTCCATTCCATATTAACTGTCCATTATGACTTTATTGGTACATTAAGAAATGAATGGATGTAGACATAAAGTATGTCTATATTCATTCATTTCTCAATGTACCAAGAAAGTCATAATGGATAGCTAATATGGAATGGAGGGAGTATGTAGTAACGTGTTTATGTAGACTCAACAGAACGATTGACGTTGACACGGCTGCACACGTCACGAATTTCGAGCTGAACTCCATTCGAAGGTGGCAAATTGCTCATTTTCACCATGGCAGCGGCGAAGTCGGAAAGGAAAGCACTGGTTGTATTCAGGTACCTCCTCGCGGCAGCGACGGTGGTGCCATTCGTCATGAGCTCGGCGTCTGAGAACAGAAGGCCTTGACCGTTGACCAATTGCTGGAAATACCTATTGTCGAAAGCGGCGGGAGTGGGGTCGAGTCCAACCAAACCGGTGAGGGTGGAGGCAGAGCAGTTGCATGGCAGGGTGGCGGTTCTGTTGGGGTTGATGCTGTTGTTCTGGCACACGATCGCACAACGGGAAAATCCCACCGTGTGCGCTCCTGCCAGAACAACCATCTCCCTTTGGGTGAACCCCTTGTCGGCAAACTTCTGGGTTTGGACGAGGAGGCTGTCGAACGGTGCTGGAAGTTGGGTGTTGGCTCCGGTGAGGTTTGCCGTTCTTGCGTCACGCCTAGCTCCTATCGTCACGTTGTAGGTTTGACCTGTGAACTGTAACACACGGCAAAATATTTGTTGCGTTTGAAAAAGCCGTGTTAGATACAATTTTTATTAGTAATTCTTAATAAAAGTTACCTTGGCGAAAGAATCACGGGCGGCAATGGCCAAGACATCAGCACAGGAGACAGGGGTGTCGGAGCATTTGGTTTTGGCGTTCTGCTTTGCTAGTTCTATAACGTTAAACCCTCTCACGGAGTTACTATTTGGGGCAGCACCTTGTTCTCCGGTGAAGTTGGCCGTGTCGTTCAGGAGGATTCCACCGTCACAGCCCTGTAGATCGACAATTTGATCAATTAATTAGATTAATACACTGTCCAATATTTCATCAAATTGATGGGTTTGACTATTTTGAAAAATCAAATTGTTTTATTTATAAATTAAAGAACTTGCTCTCGTCAACAAAGAGAGTATTGAACCGGACAAAAAGGTATATTCTGCTTACGTCAACAAAGCAGTCGTGGAAGTGGAGGCGGATGAGGGAGGCGCCCATCCGAGTCTCGTTGTTGATGGCGGCGTCCACGACTTCCTTCACGGCGGAGAACACGCACGCTTGGTCGGAGAGTCTGCCGGAGGATTTCCCGAGACCGAGGTAGGACAGAAAGTCGGCGGCCGACTCCATCGCTGCGCCGTCCAGCCAAGTGGGGATCGCCGCCGTAATAAGGGGGCGGCGGCGGCCTTGACCCACGGCGGCGTTGTGGTAAACGGAGTAGGAAGCTAAGAAGAGAGCTAAGAAGCTCAAGGAAAGGACTAGCCGGGACACAAAGGAAGAAGCCATAAGGGAAATAATTAAAACCACTGTAATTTATGGATCAACAAGCTAAGAAGAAGAAGAAGAAGAAATGATAAGGGTTGAGGATTAATGGCAAGGCGGACATGCTTATTAAATAGGAAAGGTTCTAAGTCATTTGTAGATCAAAATTTGTACCCTTTTTGTACCCCAAAGTCTCACAGTAATATTTTGTGTTAGTGTGGTGATTTACATTGACAAAAAAGTTAGTTCAATTTTTTTTAATTAATGAATATTTTATGTCAATGTAAAACGTTAAATATTAGTGTATTTCTTTGGTGTACCCTAATATGGTTGAATAGGAAATTCTAGAAGTGGCTCTAAAATCATTCTTTATTAAGGATAATGTTATTTGTATCCCGAGAATTTGTACACCACAAAGATGCATCAACATTTTGTGTTGGTGCAATGTTAATTTTTGTAAACGTACATCCACTTTGTGTCAGTGTAAATTTTTTGAAAATGCACCAACACTTTATTTCAGTGTGAACCATCAAAATGTTGATGATACATTTGGTTTGGTGTATACAAATGGAATAAAAATTATGATATACTCCTTCCGTCCTAAAATTAATTTCCCAGTTTGACTTTTGTAATCAAACTTTTTAAACTTTGACCGTATATTACGGAAAAAATATATTGAATTTTCATATAAATTTAGAAGCAATAGATTCATTTTGAAACATAGTTTTGAAATAGATAATTTTTATAAAATATATTTATATAAAAAATGAGACATTGATGGTCAAAGTGTCACATTGGAGACCGTAAAAAGTCAAATGGGAAATTAATTTTAGGACGGAGGGAGTATATAGCATGCCCCGTTATTAATTATCACGCAGTGTTTGTTAGGTGTCCGGTAATTATGGCACAGAGTATTGTTGGTGAAGAAAGCAGACTCACAATTTGAAGAGAAAAAAAAAAGAAAGAAAAAGAAAAAGCACTACGTGACAAAATGCTACGGACAACTAAGTTAAAACACCAATTTTGTCTAAATGTCTTTAAGATACGGAGTACAAAATACACAAAAGTTATCTAACAACGTATTAGGCTATTAGCTAGGGAGGGAGGGGGCAGGGGACTTGGGTGGGAGTTTAAGAAAATGGTTGGGTATGAATTATTAGAGGATGAATTATCAATTTTACTAATATAGGATTGTCGTAAGTGCTTCAAAATATTGTAATCATCACTCGGATCATTTTTTTGTTAATTAAAAATTCTTGCTGTTCTAGTATACATAATACGAAAAAGTCTTTTAATAATCTATCAGATTAGTCAGCAACTCAACTAAAACCACAACCTTATTTAGAAGTTTAAATTTTGATATCAAGAATTTGACATTAAAAGTTTTATAGATGTATACAACTAATTATTGTACATGACATATAATCAATTATTGTTTGTCAATATTTGTTAAATACTTATTTAGTGTCAAATTCATATTACCAAAATCGATAGATTTTTTTTAGTATGAAATGTTAAAGTTCGGTATAGTATAAGAATTGTGTGATCTAGCATTCTTGAAGAGCAAAATAGTGAGTGGGGCAGTGTTTGTTTGACTATTTGTCGTGCAATTGTCTACTCCTCTAGTTTTTTATAGTCACTATTTATTACTTCAATAAAATTACTTTTATACCCACTAGTTCTTAAACAATTTAAGGAAGTCAACACAAGTTATCATTTCCATAAATCACATAAAACTCTAAATCAGGAGCTATATTTTAGGAGGGGGGAGTACTTCATAATATTTTAGTAACATAAGAAGCAACTCAAGGTGGCTGGGGGGCAAGGCGGGGGACAAGGTTCATGGGCGGGTGGCAGAGAAGGACGGTGGGTGGAGATAAGGGGTAGGGTGGGNGTGGCAGGTGATTTGATACGGGGCGGTGGTGGGCGAAAAAGGGTGGGGGTGGAGCGGGAGGGGAAGGCGTAAGCAGGGGCGGACCCAGAAATTTCGGTGATTGGGTTCACATTTTGTGCATAAAAAGAAAATGTTGATATTTGTATAAGAATAAATCTAAAACCTCAAAGGTAAAAAAGTATCAATGAATAGCATTTTGAGATTAATATTGTGAGTAATATGCAATATTTTTGAACATAAAAAGAAAAAAAAAATTAAACAGCTAAAGTACTAATTCTAGACATTTCTTCAAAATACTAACTATATTTTAGGAATCATTTTAAAGCAATTAAACTTGTTTATACATTTAAAAAAATTGAACATTTTATAATTAAATTTCATAATAAAAGTTAAATCAGTTTTCCAAATCTAAAGGAAATTAAAACAAAAAAATTTACACAACCTAATTACTTATACTACTACTAATAAAAAAAATTTGGAGTGGGTGCAAGTGACCCCACTTGCACCACCCTAGGTCCGCCCCTGGGCGTAAGGGGTGGACGGGGTGTGTGTGTGAGAGAGACTGAGTAGAGAGAGAATAAAAATTTTCTTTCAAGTGCAAATAAAAATTATCTTTCTCCAATTGTGAGAATATATTTTTCCTAGAAAATGTTTTTCCTTCTACTAATAATACCAAACGTAACAAATTAAACTAGAGTACAAAATACTTTCAAAAAAAAAAAAACTAGAGTACAAAATTTTTGGAAAAATATTTTCGATCTCTCGAACCAAACACACTCTATCTTGATCTTTTACTCTCTCTCTCAAATTAAGTTACTCCGTACATATTTACTATCCAAATGGTCAAATTACATTCTTTTTCGATCTTTCTCAATTTTAGTTATTAATTTAATAAAATAATATTATCATGTCATCTCTTGTTCTATAAAAATTTTGATAAAATTTTTATGTAAATATTTTTTTTATATCTCAACTCAATTCTCGAATAAATTGATTATAAAACAACTTAGTTAAATATCTTAAAATGAAACATTTGAGTTAAATTGGTCTGTAAGTAGTATTTTCAATATGTGATTATAATTTTACATTCTCTCCGTCTTAAAATTATTTTTACTTACAGATTTTACATATAACAAAAAAAACCTTTCAACGTTTTTAAAAATATCATTTCTACCCTTACTAATTACTCCCTCTTTCCAATTTTTTTATTTTTCTTTTTTCTTATTCCACAAAGACATGATTCATTTTATTAAAAAATTAGTTTTCACTTTATTAATTCATATCCTACCTATCGAATCACACTTTTTTTCTAACAATCAATCCATCATATCATACTTGTATTGATCACATAGAGAATATTATTGGAAATAAAGTCAATACAAATGTGTCACTCAATTAACTTTTCTAAAAATCAAAATGGGAAGATCTTTATGGGACGGATGACGTATAACTTATCTCTGATATCATATGTATTTACTATTTCCTCGGTTCGAAAATGCTCATTCCCATTTGACTTTCCTTAATTAAAGTTAATAAATTTGACTGGCGTATGTGAAAAAATACATTATATTATAATACAAATTTAATATCAATATTTTTTTAAAATCACTTCAATATAAGTATAATAATCCTACTAAATCGTATTTTTCAAATATTAATTTTTTGTAAATTATGTCTATCAATAAATATAATATAATGTTAATCTTCAAAGTGTAACCGTGAAGACCATAAAAAATCAAATAAACGTAACATTTCCGAAGGGACCACTACTAATTTTCACGTCAAATCCTGCATTTATTTCAGTTTATTTCAAAATAACGGGAGTAAAACATTTCATAATATACGCTTTTGAAATTTCACATTCAGACGCATTACGATTATTTAAGAGTAATAAACATTATTTCCTAATACACGCGTTTTAGACACACGTACAGGGGACCCACCGGAACGACGGTCCCATTCATTACAGAGATGCAACGCCGGCGGCGACTTTATTACCATTCACTCGGCTACAAACATCCCGGATCTCAAGCTGCAAGCCGCGGGACGGCGGCAGGTTGCTCATCTTCACCATCTCCGCCGCGAAATCGGCCAGAAATGCGCCCATAGCGTCCCTGTACCGCCTGACGGCGGCGCCGGTGGTGTTCCCCTTCATCAGCTCATTGTCCGAAAACAAAAGGCCGCGGCCGTTAGCCACGTCGGCATAGTAGCGTTGGTCAAAAGCCGCGGGAGTGGGGTCCAGGCCGACCAGGCCCGTGGCGTTCGGGGTCGTTTGGCAGTTGCATTGCACGGCGGCAGCCGCCGCACGAGCCGGATTGACGACGGCGGCGACGCATAAAAGCGGGCATCTCACGAACCCGATCGTGTGGGCACCTAATAGCGCCACCATCTCCGTTTGGTTAAATCCTTTCGCCGCGAATTTTCTGGTCTGCGAAGCCAAGTCCTCCGCCGGACCGACTAGCTGGGTGTTAGCTCCGGTGAGGTTTGCCGTTCTTGCATCCTTTCTGCCTAGAGTCACCGTGTATGTTTTGCCGGTGAACTGCAAAACCAATTAAAGATTTGTAAATGAAACAATAAAAAAAATAAAATTTCCAAAGGAAATTTATGTAAAGTTCTATGGGACGAAGAAAGTAATAAATTTAATATTTAATATAAAGAAATTTGTTTTAAAATATAATTTTGATATATCATATTGTCATAAGAATAATATGAAGGGAGTACTTTCAACTCCAAAAAAAGTACTCCATCCGTCTTACTCCGTCTTTCCCAAATTAATTACTCCCTCCGTTCCACAAAACCATTCCTCTTTTGTCTTTTGAAATATTTGCACTAAATAGCACTAAAACTTAAGTCATTTCCCTAAATAGCACTTAATAATGTTCATAATGTCCTGTGATGGCGAATATTTACTTGAATAATGACTAATGCATAATGACTAAAAGTGCTACATTGGGAAGAAAAACATATGTGGTGCTATTTAGGGAAAGTCGTTATGTTTAAGTGCTATTTAAGTAAAATCCTCTTGTTTTTTTTGCTTTCCACAAAACACTTCCACTTTCTATTAAAAAACCACTTTTACCCTTACTTTTTCATACCATACCTATCACATCATACTTTTTCACTAATAACCAAACTATCACATCTTACTTTTTTCCATCACATCAGGGGCAAAATTGGAAAGTCAACCAAAATTACACTTTC